TTTCTGGAAATCAAATAAATCCATTTGCCAAAAAAGAAATGTGGATACAAGACTGAACAACTGAGCAGAGCTGACACAGCAAGAATGTGATTCAGACTGGCAGATAAAAAAACTTCATTCTGTAAAATCCTTTTCTTCATTGTTAGAGAGTTAAAAAACTGCCCCAAATACAAAACCAAGTGTGTAAGGGCTATGTTCAGCCTACCTGAAATTTGAAGCAAAGGCAAGATATCTATTAACTGGATTTTCAGTTCAGCTTTGTGTTTGTAGTGGCAAATTTTGCACAAGGGCCAAAATCTATAGCCCTTACTGAAGGAGATCTCCTACTGCTTTACTCTGCCCTGCCATTCCTACAGGAAAATCTCATGAATGAGAGGGTTGCTGGAGTCCACAGGAATTTGGAAAGGGATTTCAATAGGGCCAGGATTTCACCCTTAATCTTTAGCATAACGTCTTTCCTTCAGGTAGGAAGTGCATTTCACAACATATTTAGAAACGACAGAAGTTTCTTGGTTCTTGTAATGTCATGCTTCATGAATACAGATAAATACAGAAAACACACAGTGGAAATCACTAGAAAAATACCTAATGTCTGCACAAGTTTTACCCCTTCTCGCCCATTCATCAATCTGGGGAATAGGAAGAGAGTTAAGGGTGAGTGGTGATTATCATGAGAAGCATTTTGAGTGGCTTAGGGAGGTATTTACTACAAAGTTTTCTTGGTGCAGGCAATCTGGTTAGTTAGGGATATAAAAAAAAAATCACACCCTAACCAGTGCATCAGCAAACTCTCTGAAGTAGACACAGTTTAGACAAGTACAGGGTCCTTTGCTGGTATTGCTTATGTTCATCAGGAAGGTGAATTAATTATATCAGCACAAGAATTCTTTTTGCCAGTATAAAATGTGTCTCTAGCATGTACTTTCAAATTGTTCCTTGTGCATACATTCAGTGAATCTTTATTTGTATAATGATGAAGAAAGTGGTTTTGATTTCAAACATTTCAGTGCTTGAGCTACTGACCAACATATATTCTAAGCAAATAGATATAACAGCCAGAGAAGCTCCTAGTGAACTACTGGAAAACATAGCATTTTAATGATATTTATTATGTATTGAAACACCATGCAAACTGTAATAAACAACTCAGACCTACCCACTCTGCATGTGCATTTACTGTGTGGTGCCTTGAAAAAATAGGCACACGGAATGGCCTACAAAATATAAGACAATAGTTTCTCTTTTTATGATAAATTGTATTTCTCTATCCAAAATTATTCTAAATACCATAGATTTGAATGGGATGCCAAGATGTCAGCACTTCTTGCTGAGGAGCTAAATGACAAATTTAAATCCTTTTTTATTTATAACTTACATTATAATAGCAATATAATATACACTCCTTTGCCTCATCAGTGATCCAATGCCTTCATTCTGATAAACTAACTCACCTGGGGGTCATGATTGACCACAAGATGAATATGAGCCTTCAGTGTGATGCTGCGGCTAGTAAAGTGAGCAAAATGCTGGCTTGCATCCATAGCTGCCTCTCAAGCAAATCCCAGGACGTCATTCTCCCATTGTACTTGGTCTTGGTGAGGCTGCAGCTGGAGTACTGCATTCAGTTTTAGGCTCCGCAATTCAAAAAGGATGTGGAGAAGCTTGAGAGAGTCCAGAGAAGAGCCACATGCATGATCAGAGGTCAGGAAAACAGATCTTACGACGACAGGCTGAGAGCCATGGGACTCTTCAGCCTGGAAAAGCGCAGGCTCAGGGGTGATCTGATGGCCACCTATAAGTTTATCAGGGGTGACCACCAGTATCTGGGGGAATGTTTGTTCACCAGGGCGCCCCAAGGGATGATGAGGTTTCATAGATTCATAGATTCATAGATGTTAGGGTCGGAAGGGACCTCAATAGATCATCGAGTCCGACCCCCCTGTTGAACCGTTATAAACTACTGCAAGACCGTGTCAGGCTGGATGTAAGGAAGAATTTCTTTACTGTCTGAGTCCCCAAGGTCTGGAATAGCCTGCTACCAGAGGTGGTTCATCCGCCTACTTTGAATGCCTTCAAGAGAAGTTTGGATGTTTTTCTTGTTGGGATCCTATGACCCCAGCTGACTTCCGGCCCCTGGGGCAGGGGTCTGGACTCGATCTTCCGAAGTCCCTTCCAGCCCTAATGTCTATGAAATCTATGAACCTTTTGTCCCACCCTTTATTAAACCAGAAAGTAGACTGTGGACAAGAAGTATAATTATGCTAGCACAGAACTGAGCAGCCCTTCGGAATGTTTTAATACAATTCCTTTAAGGATTTGAAATAACTTATTTTCTTGGGAGAATATCCCAAAAACCTATTACTGCAGTACCAGGGAAGACATATTCATGTCTCAAGAATCTAGACCCTTGATCATGCCTCAACTCTGAAGAGAAGGATGTTCCAGTAGACAGGAGCAGCTTCGGCCAAGGCCGGAGCAGTTGTCTGGAGACATTCAGGTTAGGGACAGAAATTACACATAAACTAGTATAAGTGATTGGAAACCGGTTCAAATCTCTAACACAACAGAAGTTCAGTGCATATAAACTGCTTTCAAAATGGCTGGAACCAGTTTAAGATAAACCTGGTTGGATGTAGTATCAGATTTAATTCATTTAGGTTCAATCAATTCATTTAACTTCTGTCCCAGATCCCCTCCACATTCAAATTAACTCTCAGTCCCCCATCATCCCAGGATGCTTTGCAGGGTGGGTGGGCTAGGCTTGGCCCAAGCTGTCTGCTCCAGCTGAGCAGGGAAGCATGCTCTAGTGCCCCCTGACTTCTGGTCCGGGCCACTGTGGGCATGTGGCTACATTTCTAGGATCAAAAGTAAATGTCTGCTCACTTGCTTTTTGGTTCAATCTATGCATCTTAAACTAACCTGTGAAGATTAAATCAATTCAGCCTCAGCCTTTTTGACTGTCTGTACCTAGCCTCAGAGAACTCTTTACTGTTTTGATAGGACTTTTCCTACTCTGTACTGACTAGCTGTTTGTTTCTGCTTTCCTCTCTGTCTGTCACTCTGTTCATGTCAGATTCATTTTGTTCTTCATACATTCTTCTCTCCTATGCTGCTCCCTCAAACCTCTTTCCTTCCTATTTCTTTCCATTTATTTGGTCCCTTACTAAATACCATGCAACCCCTCAAAAATCACAGAACTAAACTGATATTTGCTGCTATCACATCGTTTACTTTCCCTATGTGTGATACTCTTTCCACCAATTCGCTCCTTTAGCCACTACTATAATAAACATGAGTAATGATAATATGCAACAAAAAATAAATACAAAAACAGGTGACTACTCTGAATCCTTACCCCTCTCTTGCTAAGAAGAGAGAACACCATGATATCAGGATGCACTTACACTCTGGGTCAGTGCCCCAGCTCACCAACTTCATGGCTCTTCTTTTATCAGGAGCCAAACTAATAGTTACATAGCATGGAGGTCAGCCCAAACTCAAAGTTGTTTCTGAGCCTATAATGGGACAGGGAGTAGTGGGAAAGGTTCTGAATCTGAGTTTAGGTGAATGAGGGGTTGTAAGATTGAGTTTTATGATAGGAAGGCATCTAGCACTAAAAGGGAAAACACTTCAGCACTTTAGCTGAAATAAATAGGAGATGTGGAAAGGTTTCAAGACAAGGAGGAAAAAGTTCTGGTTCAGGTTAAAGCAAATTTCTGAGCAGAAGTAGGCTTGGTTAGATGAAGAATGTAAAGGTATCACAGCATTTTCTGGGTAAGGAGGGATATGATTAGGCAGAACTGAGTGCAGGTGAATGGATAGAATGGGATCTGTGTACAGAGATAGGTGAATTGGTAAATGAGAATTTTGATCCTACAACATACTGGGTGCATCTACATGAGATGCTGACTGCACAGTAGCCGAATAATACTGCACAGTAGCACATCACAGCACCAACAGTGCTAGTAAGCTATTGCATAGTACTATTAGGCTACTGCACAGTAGGGTCACTTAAAAGTTGTTCACTGGTACTACTGAGCAGTAACTCTGGTTACTGTGCATTTATTTGGTACTTGAGTACACAAGTACCATACACAGTAACCACTGTGCAGTTGCATCTCATGTAGACGTTACCACTGGAAAATAAACGAGTTTTTTGGAGTTTTGCCTGTATAGGACCAAATCACCCAGACCTGGGATTATGAGTTTGGCTGTATTGGTGGTGTGGAAGCAGGAGTAGATAGAGGAGTGATATCAGCAGGGAAAAACCTGAATTGGAAAGGAAAGAGGGAGATTGAGGCTAGGAAAAATGCGAATAGGGCCTCAATCTGTTTCCTCCTATTGTGCCCTGTATTCAACTAAAAAGTGTAATTGGAGAAGGAAAAGAGCCCTTTTCCTATATAATCTCTCTGACTCCCAACCAATATTTTCCCCATTGCTCTAGTTGTACACTTCAAAAACCTAGTCAGTCTGTCAGGGACAGTAAGAGGTAGGGTAAGGTAGAGTGACAGAACCATAGTAACTTCAACTCCATCACTTGTGTGGGGAACCAGCTACTACTGTATGGCTACCAGTTAATCATCTAATTTATTGCTAAACTTGAACTATAAACTGTAGTTAATAAACCTACAGGATAGATCAAAACACACCTGAAAGTCCTTCAAATTATCAAGTATTACAGCTGTTTGATTATTTTAGAACCTCTACTGATATGTGGTATCAGCTCAAGGCCACCTCTGCAAGTGTCTACATTAATCCTCTAGGGTTTTTGTTTTTTTTTAAAGAAATGTCAGTCAGAAAGAAGACACAATAAGATTCCATCCAAGAATGGTTAATTAATAGCTTGCCTAGATTATCTGATTTTAGCTCAGTGAATTGGGTCCCCCTACTATATATAAAGTGACTCTCTAACTTTGTCCTCTACATCATGCTGAATCTTTAAAGTATATCTTACTAGTAACTACTCTTTTTCATTTGGAATTTCATTGCAATTGCTGAAAATGTTTCCAGCATCTTTGATCTGGGGAACAGTGGTGATACTCTGCTGTTGTTTTTGGTTTCTTCTAGGAAAAAGGAGGAGGTAAAGAATCTTTTTTTAACTATATCCAAAGCCTGTTATCTCTTATTTCATTCAAAAGGTATTGTTTATATAATTAAAACAAAAGTAATTTGAACATAGATTCACAAATAAAGGAGAACAATAACAATGCTACTGTTTTGTTTTTTTTGAGAGATGGATATTCCAGTATATTTTTTTCTATAGCTAAATAAAAATGGGTAAAGCAGATCCATAACATTGTTTTTGGGTACAATAGTAACAACAGATATAAATAAAAACTTATCTGTAAATGAAGACAAAACTTCTATAATTTGGTTTGTGCAAGGTCTTATATTCAGGCATGCTTAGTACACACAAGAGTTCTGGGATCTTGAGATTTTTGAGCAATCAGGTCCCACATATATTTCTGTCTGATAACTGGATAACTGATTTATCCTTATGGTTTTTTGCTTTCTTTCTCTATATCACAGACAGATTTAGTGCAGTTTAATCTGAACTGTAGCCGTTTTAAATAAGGATTGAATACTGAATTTTTAATGAGGCAACATTTGCATTGTTTACAGTGTTAAATACATGTTTTCATAGGATAGGCTCTAAAAGCTTTATTCTATAGGCAAAGGTCATATCTGCAGAAACAAGTTCAAGCATAAGGGGTTTTTAATTTTATAATTTCTCTATACCTTATATATTCTCTTCAGTTACAGTTTTTATTTATTTATTTAAGAAATAATAAAATATCTAAAATTAATTACTTGGTGTACTATCACAATAAGCAAGTTATAAGCACCAAAAATAAAACTGTTATTTGTAACATTCTGCAATAGTCAAAAGGAAGGAAAGTAGTTACTTTCATCTCAAATATATGGACCATTTAAGCACATGCTTAACTTTCATTCTGTGCATAAGCATTCTGCCAATTCAGGGCTAGAGCATGTAATCTTCATTTCATAAGTCAAAGGCAAATTCCAATTGATTTCTGTGGTGCAGGATCTCAGCCAAGTGGGACATGCCAATAATCTTTCTTTAATAGGTTCAACGTGCTGAGCATTTAGCATGTCAGAGAACCATACGAGCCAAAAACCAACCAGCTAGTACAATAATTCAGTTTTAGTGTCTCTTGAAGTCCATGTTCTGTTTAGCCATGTTCAATTCTTCTTTCTTGCAGACCACTGAACTGATTTAATAATGCAGTTACTTTTCCCATTCTTTACGGTATATTTAACAATATAATTAATACAATGCTATCTATTTTAGAATTTGCAGAGCAAGCAAGGGCCTGACTCTGCAAAGAAGGTACCACCCATTCCTGCAAAGTGAGCCCACTTCAAAGTAAAAAGCATATTAGGGGTTTTGCAAATATTAAATTGAGGATATTAAAACAACTAGTCCAAAGTGTTCAGTTGCTCATGGAATTACCTATACCATTGAAGGAGTTTTGCCCTTGACTTCAGTGGGCACAGGATCAGACCTAGGTTTTTAGGAGACTGTCATATACCCTTTAAAGACACTGGACATGTCTACATGCAACAGTGACTGTACAGTAGCCTGACACTACTGCACAGTAGCATGTCATGTAGATGTGGCCATGGGACTTAGGCTATTGATTTTAATGGGAGTAAGTGTGGTTTCTTCCCAACAAATTAATAAGCAGAAACTACAGCCCTTTTGCTATAAAGCAGTGGTGGCCAACCTGTAGCAGGGTCGCCACAGGCAGCCTCTGTGTGTGGTACATGGTAAATTAGAGAGGGTACGGGCAGCTCAGCCACAGATATGTCAGAAATCAGAAAGCAAAGCAGCAAATTGGGTAGGAAGTACAGGGAAGGGAGTAGAAAGCAGAGCAGATCAAGCAGAGAGTACAAGGCTGGGAACAGAAAGCAGGGCAGCAGATTGGGCAGGGGAAGGGGATCAAAGTGGCACCTGGGCTGTGGCAGGGGTACTGTAATTTGTGATGTGTCTGCCAAAAAAGTTGCCCCCCACTATTGTAGAGCAGGACTCAAACAAGGAATTTTTACCCACTTGAATAGCCACATGGAAATCAGTAGGAATACTTGAGTATATAAATTGGAGCTAATAAAACATTTTTATTCTTTTCCAATTAAAAGTGAAAAACAGACATTTTTAATTTTGAGAAGTCACATTTAGCAAATGTTTTTGGTTTTCCATATAAACTTTTTTTGGCTGAAAGTGAAACAAATCATCAGTATGGGCTGACCAAACTAGGCTTCCATAAAGTTACTCACAGATGAGATTAAACGTATTGAAAGGCAGCTGTCAGGAAAAAGTAGATAAAGTAATGAAAGAAATGAAGAACAAAGTAACAAAATGCAAACAAAACCTAACAAAACTTAAACCAAATACATGTCCCTTTCCTCTTGCCATATGAACTGTCAAACTTAGACTGCCCAGAGGAGTCAGCTCCAGTAATGGGGCTTCTCCATGGACAAAATTCTACCACTGGTCCTGAAAAGTCCTACCCTAGATCCAAAATATCTCAGGCAATTGGGCCAATTTATTATGTCTGATGTCTTCATCAGTGTTGCTCTGTAGAAAGATGTTGACTGATAAGGTCATTCTTTCCAGCATACTCTCGACCTCTGAATGGATTTACTTATCAAAGGGAGGGGAAATTCCTGTTAACAGTGATAAAAATGAAATGTTATAAATAGAGCAGTTTCTTAATCTTGCTTAGCTAGAAGACTCAAAGGATGGATATTATTTTATATCCCTAATTTACAGCATTTGTTTATAATTTGCAGGCGTTCAGGTGAGCCACCATTGGAAAATGGGTTACTCCCATATCTAGGTTGTGCCTTGCAGTTTGGTGCAAATCCTCTTGAATTTCTCAGAGCAAGACAAAAGAGATATGGCTGTGTCTTCACATGCAAAGTAGCTGGAAAATATATTCACTTTCTCACTGACCCCTTTTCATACCACTCACTTACACGCCATGGAAAGCATCTGGACTGGAAAAAGTTCCATTTTGCTGCTTCTGCCAAGGTACCACTTAAAAGCATTTTGATTCTTACCATAATTTAATATTTATCATTTAAAATATCAGCATAGTCAAGTCAGGCAGTAATTATATGTCTTTTCAGTAAGTCTACCTTGCTTACACAATGCTTGTCTCATGGCTCACATCTACCACAATGTTTCAGTTGTTTTTTTGGTTTTGTTTCCCTTAATATAAAATAAAAATGAATCTGGCAAATAAATGCAGACTACTCAAGAATTACATTATTTAGTTGGTTGATACCATAAATCATTAGAGTGGAAAGAACATTAGCCTAAGGTGTAAATTGGTTTACAGTGCTGGGGAGCCAAGGGCACACAGTCCTTCTCAGAAGGTGATCATAATGTTGGAAGATTAGAGCCTGGCCTTTCAAAAATGTTTTGGCACAATAAAGTGCTCAGTCAAACTCTTCTTGAAGCAAGTGAAAAGACTTCCATTGACTTCAGGAGGAATTAAATGTGGTCCTAAATTAATTTGATTTCGTTATAAACATCGAGTAGAATTTATTTTTGTTTACTTGTTTAATAATCGTCAAGATTTGTAGTTAAGTTTGAACTATAGAGTTGATAGTTCTTGTATTTCCCTGCACTAAATTACAAAGAAAGGCATCTTGGCTATGATTTTCCTTGTACATTATTACTCACCAAGGTTATGATACGCCTCATTTATCTCCCATACAATTTATTTGGTGGCAGGCTTTCGGACATGGCAGTATTGACCCAAATGACGGAAAGACCAGTGAAGATTTTCATCACACTTTTATTAAAACTCTACAAGGTAATGCCTTGAATCCTCTTATTGAAACCATGATGGAAAACCTACAGTATGTCATGCTACAGTCAAGCACATCTAAACTCCATCCCAACAACTGGATAACAGATAGACTTCATGCATTCTGCAGTCGGGTGATGTTTGAAGCTGGCTTTTTAACATTCTTTGGTACAGAGCTCAGTTCAAATCACGATGACAATCTGTCTAAGCAGGAAATGGAGAGAGCACGTATTCTAAATGCTCTTGAAAACTTCAAGGAATTTGACAAAATCTTTCCAGCCCTTGTAGCAGGCCTACCTATCCATATGTTCAAGAACGCCCACAGTGCACGAGCAAAGCTGGAACAGGAACTGCTCCACGAGAAACTCTATAAAAGGGACAACATCTCAGAGCTTGTCACACTCCGCATGTTCTTGAATGATACTCTGTCCACTTTTGATGATAAGGAAAAAGCCAAAACCCATGTGGTTATACTGTGGGCTTCACAGTCTAATACAATACCTGCTACTTTTTGGAGCTTATTCCATATTATTAGGTAAGTACTAATGTTTTAAGTTTCCAAAAAGGAAAAATAACTTTCTGACTTTGATACTAAGAAATCGTTTTGATATAAAGGGCCACATTGATGTCAGTGGCAAAAGTCCTATAGATCTCAGTAGGACTAGGCCTTTGTCATGAATCTGTACTTCTATAGAAACATCTTTCACGATAGGGCAGGAGATAGTACAACATAGGCCTTCTCTACATTAGGAATATTTTCTAAAAATATTCTGCCCAGTGTTTTAAATCCAAGTTTAGAAAAGTTCCTGGCACCAAATGTGCTTTAAAAACCATACAGCAAGTCAAAATAGTACAATAACAAAAATAGAGGTTGGCCGCAGAAGGCTTAGCAGCAGTAGGGATCCCACTGTTAGGTAGTTAGGCATTTTCTGACCATTTCCATTTAGTAGATATAATCTTATTGTATGTTTTAGTATACTTTAGTTTGTGCCCACCTGTATTCACAGAAGAATATTGGTTGCTTAGTAGAAAATAGTAAGAGAAACTAAATCAAATTAAATAGTGAGAGAAACTGAATCAAGTTACAATACCTGAAGATTTGACCCAGTAGGCCCTGATCCCCTACTCTGTTTTCCTCCAAAGGTGGCTGTGGAGAAGCTGGCATCCAGATCTCTGACTTGGCCTGGAAAAATCTCTCCTAAATTTCCAAATCCTTTCCAGACAATAAATTATTGTTTTAGTTGTTACCTGTATATCTGTGATAAGCTAAAATAGCACAATTAAGACAGATAGTATTTCCTTGCCAATGTTAAGAATTGAAACTTATATAGCATGGTTTGTTAAACCCCACAAAGGTGCTATAAAAATTTACAAGCATTCTGATCCTGGAATCTTTTGGCATTTTGATTTTATGGGAGTTTTATATCCACAAATATTACAATATTATGATACATCTTATATGTGTCTAAAATCACTTCTCCCATTATTAAAGTAATCTGTAGTTGTATAGAAACCCCCAAAACTGAAACTTTATTCAGTGTAAATGACGGAGGGGGGGTGTCTACACAAGACGTTTACTGCGCAGTCAACTAATTAGCTGCACAGGAAACATCTCAGTGTCTACATATGAGCCCCTATTAAATTAAACTAATCACTCCATAGCAGGATAGAATTTGTAAATACAAGGACTATCCTGCTGTGGAATAAAAACAGGCATGAGAGTGCTTCAGTGCGAGAGCTGCCAGCCAGCTAGCCCTGCACTGAAGCTTCCTTGTGCCCCAGCCAGCCTCTCTGCAGCACGTTGAGCCAGGGGAGGAGGGGTGCAGTTCTGGGATGACAGGCTGAGCCCCCCAGGATCTCCTGCTAGCTGGGGCTGCTCTGCCTGGGCTCCACGTGGTGCACATGAATAAACTGCGGAGAATATTGCTCTGGAGTTAATTGCTTCTGGGAACACGTTCAAATGGTGCTCCCGTGAGCAATTAACTCTGGAGCAGTAAGCTCTGCAGTATATTCATGCACCATAATTGCATATGTAGACATGCCCAGGGAGATATTTTTTCAGGGAGGCAGAAAGTAGTCACCTAAAAGGACATCAGTCAGAATAGTTGATGATATGATAGTGATCTATGATATCTTTATCTTGACTGTTAGCATTGATGGGACTGTTTTATAATCTGCAAACAAATCATTTTATTCCTTATTCTTGGCATCGTTTTACAGTGATGTCATTATTTATTCATCAGCAGTATTGTACACATTAATGTCCTACTCAGGAATAGATACAGAACCAAATACTCATTAAAAAAAAAATTCTGAGCAAGCAGAATTTTTCCAATACCTATCTAAAAGGTATAATACTGTTTTGTCTGGATGCTTTTCTGCAGCGCTTTAATTTTACAAAATTAAACTAGTGAATTAACAAACTGAACTGTAGACAGAAAGAAAAGTGTGATTGAACTCTGCAATGTTTTTAATACAGTACTTCTATGACATAAATAGCTTTTATTTCTGCTATTTTGATTTTAGGAACCCAGAAGCAATGAAAGCTGCTACTGAAGAAGTAAAAAACACATTAGAAGATGCTGGTGAAAAGATTAGCTTAGATGGCAAATATATTTCCTTGAATCGAAAACAGCTTGATAACATGCCAGTTCTAGGTATGTTTAGCATATGCATCAATACAAGAATCCATTCCACAATTTTAAGACTCTGTCCTATTTATAGCTCATATAACACTTGCTCTAAAATCCTAAACAGCCAAAAAAAAAAAAAGAGAAGATAATAAAGCCACACAAGCAAAGACTTAGGAAGTATCACAGCTTTAAACAGAATCCCATTTTTCCCTATCTAATTTAATTTACTGGTTAAGTATTATGCTATAGAATGATCCACATGATCATAGGCTGTGGTCTGGGGCATGTCTATACTGTCTGAGTAAAGACAGTAGTAATAAGAAGCACCACATTCACTCCACCTGCACTGTTTCCAAAAAAAAAATGTAATATAGCCACCATAGTGTAGTGCTTACCAGTAAGCTTATTTCCTCCATGAAATGCTGCACTAAGGCAACTACCTTAAGGTACATTAAATCAGTTTTGGCAGGTAAAGTGCACAGAGAGGGTGTGATATGCTTCACTGCTGTGATCTATGGAGTGGTCCTGAGGTGCTGTTGACATGCTGATGGTGTCCCAACTATTAGTGATGGTTAAACAAACAACTTCTAACAACATGGCCAAAGACGTGGTTATTATTTATTAGTGTGTACATGTGTCTGTATATTTTAAATTTCAGGTAATATTTTCCAAGCAGTCAATATGATTTAAGACCTTAAATCCAAATTAGGATCTTAAAAAAATAATAGCTGTTCCTTTCCTTTCCTTTCTTTCTTTTCTTAATTTTTGAATATACTTTTCTTTAGTTGCCTCTTGTTGCTAATATCATTCTTTTACTTTGAGCACTATCGCTCAGGATGATGTTCCTCCATCCTCATTGTTTTCTTCATATATTTTCCTTTATCAGGTTATGATAGGACAACTTGTCTGCAAGACACAGGGCAAGGTTGTTTTCTGTTCTCAAGCATGAAATGATTTGGGGTGGGAGAGGGGATGGGATGCTCTTCCAGATTTATCTACACAAAGTGTCACATTCCATACAGATCTCACCACTCTCTACCAGGGGAAAGTGGTGTCAGCAGTCTCTTCCCCTTCCCATTATTTGCAAGGACCTTAGCTAGGGAGTATTAGAAAAGGAAGAAATGAGGGTAAGGCTAGGGTTGGCATATTAGCGAAGCTCTGGTTTTATGTGGTGGCATCATTTTTTGTTCCACCATGGTGACATGAATCCCTGTGAAATAAAATTGTGGAGGAAGTTCACAAAGACATCTTTATCAATTTTTCTCCTATCCAGCCTAGCTTGGTTATTTTTATGAGGAAGGGTGACCCAATTGTAATGATAGGAACACATTGCTACTTAAACACCTAGAAGTTCCTAGAGCTCATTTGAGTAGGAAGCATAAAAAACAGAGATGGAAAAGAACCCTTGGGAGACCCTTTCATTCCTGCTGCCAGGGCAGTCTTGTTCCCTGTTCTGTATTTGCTAGTATTTTGTCCAGTCTTCTTTTAAAGTCCTTACTTCACCATTTAATGCTCTATTATAGGGGTGCTCAACCTTTTTGGCCAGTGGGCTAGATGGGTTGTGCCTAGTCCATCCATGGGCCAGATCTGGCTGATGGTCCCAATCCAGCACCTGGGATGGTCATGGCAGGGTCCTATCTAGCTGTTCATGGGAGAAGGGGGTTTGGCCCAGCCCCAGCCCATGGCAAGGGGCTTGGAATTTGGTAGCAGGGAAGGGTGACAGTATTAACTGCCACCGCTCCCCTGGATCCAGATTTCCTGACCCATTGGGAGCCCAGTGGGCTGGATGCCATGGCTCCATGGGCTGCATTTGGCCTGTGAGCTGAAGGTTGAGCACCCTTGTTCTATTATATATTACAAGCTTCAGTGATATTTAACATATATAATTTATGCACTAAAACAAAATGAATAGCTAGATGTGCTGTGTATACTGTATAGATGTTTGTGTGTGTATGAATCCACACACACACACACACACACACACACACACACACACACACACACTATATAGGCTTGGCAGAATTCAAGTTTTATTTTTTTTTAATTTTGATAGATAATATCAATGTTTATTTTTAAGCATTTATTTCAATTGTTATCGATTTAAATGTTCAGGATTGCATGACATTAGAGATGTAGGGGGCAAACAATTTATTAGTGACAGTATACTATTATTACAGTATAGTTTAACTGCCTGCCGTGACAAACATAACTACTGTAGGCCTGCCACCAGCTGAGTGGCAGAGCTGCCATCAGTCCTGGCTCTGCTGGTCCATAGCTGTCTTGTCTCCTTTGTCACTTCCTCTTCCTTTGTTCCCAGTCCCCTGGGGTTTCTGGGAGTTGCAGTTCCAACTGCTTCAGCACAGTTCTGTAGGACTGCTCTCCCTGTTGTCACACACTCCATCAGCCGTCATTTTTCTTACATCCCTTTTCTATAAATTTTGATTACTAACAATGGAAATATTTGTTGTTGGTCTTTGAGAGGTGATATGGATGTTTATCAACGTGTACCAATAAAAATCAAATCCTGCCAAGCCTATCTATGTAGTATATAATGTGTATTCATGTTAATGCAAATGTGATACATACATCTATTTAATTTCTATATTAATGATAAAACACTACCCAGATAAAGGGAAATTTGATGGTAGAAAGCAAAACTTAGAAAAAACTCTTCCTCTTGTCAATCTAGTTTTTGCTGTTTTCTTAGATTTATTCATGTAAGCAAATTCTTTCTTTAGAAACTATGGTGCAACCTAGTTGTAACTCACCATGTCTATAACAAATCCTGACTTTTAAAAATTGCAACAGCAGGATAAGATTTTTGTCAGTATTATCATTCAGCAAACTGACTGTCCCCATTGTAGTGAACACCCTCTTTTAATGAACGTTTTCCAAGTCCCATGGTTCATTATAATGAGGTTATACTGTATTGCATGTTATAATGAGTTTAGACTATACAATGTACTGAAGGACATAAGCATATTATTTTAATGCTAATTATTTCCCTTTATGTTTCTATAGATAGTATTATCAAAGAAGCAATACGATTGTCCAGTGCATCCATGACCGTCAGAGTTGCTAAAGAGGATTTTACTTTGCGTTTAGAAGATGACTCCTATAACATTCGCAAAAATGACTTTGTAGCTCTCTATCCTCAGCTGATGCACTTTGATCCAGAAATCTATGCTGATCCTACGGTGAGTAATTATGACATACTAAACTCTGATCTCCAACAGAATCTAAATATCATTCAGTAAAGCTTCTGACATGTTAGTGTCCCAGTTTTCCTTAAATGACCTGAATTTATGTCTATGAACTCCTTGAACAGGCAAAAGTTAGAAGCAAGTAAATCACTAGCCTTCTATCTTTTTAGCCAACCAAAAACTAATGTTGATAAGTCTAGATAGAGGAAGTCCCATACAATGTTCCTCAGCCAGAAAAAAGTTGTTGTGATATGAAAGTTCAAGTGAGGAGAAGAAAAGAGCAGGCAAGCTTCTTTGAGTAGATGTGAAATCTTTTATTAAACCGAGTAGCTGGAAAAAAGTTCATTGCAAACTTTCGGGCACCCTTCTTTAGGCAGGGGGTCTATGCACGTGGGGAGTCTCTGCTGTTCTGAGATGTCCTTGGAGAGCTCAGAACAGCAGAGACTCCCCACGTGCATAGACCCCCTGCCTAAAGAAGGGTGCCCGAAAGTTTGCAATGAACTTTTTTCCAGCTACTCGGTTTAATAAAAGATTTCACATCTACTCAAAGAAGCTTGCCTGCCTATGTCCTTAGACCAACACAACTACAACCAAAAACCCTGCGACAAGAGAAGAGGAAATTCTTTCTTATGGATAGGTAATGATGGTGTGGGAAGTCTTTTGATTTGGATACATGACAAGGTTCCTTGGGTGAATTTGATATCTTTTATTAGACCAACCGAAATGGTTGGAGAATAGTTATTAAGCAAGCTTTCGGGTTCAAAAACCCTTCGTCAGGCTAAGGAAGCTTCAGCAGTTGGTGTGTGCTCTTCCTGGATGGAATGACACCCTGTATGTGTCATTTAAAGCCAAGAGAAGGGAAAGAAAACTTTCAGAAACATTATGTTGCCCATGCATAGGAGCATGTATTGTATTACCTAAGGGAAGAGTGTTCAAGATTGAAGTTAGCCTATGACAGGCATGACCTGCCACAGAGGTCTTACGGCACTGTCCTCTTCTGCTTGAGGTTGTGCTATAATGACAAGATTTGGTCCTAAAAGACACAGAGATTTCAAATGTCAGTTTTTGTGTTTCATTACAGATATTCAAGTATGATCGTTTTCTCAATGAGAATGGAGAAGAGAAGACTGCCTTCTATCACAGTGGGCACAAATTAAGACATTATTACATGCCATTCGGAGCAGGAATAGCAAAGTGTCCTGGCAGATTATTTGCTGTTCATGAAATCAAACAATTTTTGACTTTGCTACTTTCATACTTTGAAATGGAACTTGTTGACAATGATGTGGCATGCCCTTCTTTAGATCAGTCCCGAGCAGGACTTGGTATTTTACCGCCAGTCAATGACATTGATTTCAGGTATAGATTAAAATGTCTGTGAATATGTAAAACATTATCCACAGGGAGAAATCACTGTAAAGATGGACATGTATTTGTCTAAATGGACAGAACAGGACTAGACTATTTTGCTAATGCAATGCAATCTGCATCATGTACAAAGCTGATAGGTTCCCTTTTGCAACTGCAATTTGAGATTTTTGCATCTGTAACTCCAGGGTACACCTTGCCTTTCTGCTAGCAAACACAGCCTGCCTCCATGCATTCAGTAGGCATTTTACTGTTCAGATCAAATGATTTTCCAAAATTTGCTTGGGAATACATTTTTGCCATTTTCCCAGATGGAGCCTCTCATTTCCATCATTATAACAGTTTCTCTTGTAAAATGTCAGGATTTTTGCTGTTGTGTTTTGCCCAGAAAAATGCTTTGTTTTCATGGAAAACTAACAAAATATTTCACGTTTTAGTGAAACTGCACAAACTTGGTTTCTAGGAGCTTACATTGTACGCCTTTTCACAAAGCTCTAACCACATGAGCACAAATGATACTAAATAATGAAGAAACATCTCTCAATTGTCATGTTTCAGCATTTTTCAACAGTCCAGTGTCTCATGGTATATCTCATTGCAGTTCATAGATGCAGCTAGATCTACGCATATGTCATGTAGCCATATCTATCTTTAAATTAGCTAACTCACATACCAAAGGGCACCTATACATGTGCCGGACATCTGCTCTGACATGCTAATTAGCACACATCAGACCAGACTTGGTCAATAATTGATAATTAGTGTGCTCCAGCAACCTCCATGTCACATCTATTTAGCATCCCCATGCTTCAAAAAGGTGGCAGAGGCACTTTTAGCTAAAGCTTGTCAAATGAGCTTTAGTTCAAGTGCCCCCACTGCCATTTTGAAGCATGGGATGTTGAATACATGTGATTCTGAGGGCACTTTAATTAGAGTGGCTCCCAGAGTCGCTCTAATTAAAGCACCCCCTACCCCACCCTGGAGCATGTGCATAGACACCCAAAGTGTGTATGGCTGTGACAGCACAGAACCTAGTTCAGGCAAGCTTCACAAATATTTACCCAAGGTCCTGGCTCTTGCTGCTATGGACTGCTCTGTTGTCAAGGTAGCTAGTTTCAAGCTTTTGCAGGTATTTCCACAAAAGTTGCAGTAACAAACTTGGATCGGAGTGTCATCATGCACTTAGAAACACTGGGGTCAGTAGTAATTAGTGTTTATTTTCTGTTTAGTTCTTTTCTTTTCAGTATTTCAATCAGTAGACAGACAAAAGTCCAACATTAAGCAAATTTCTTTAGGGTAAAAAAGGCAGTTTTGTTGTCATATATCAACAATAAGGACAAAAGAAATTCTAATTTAACTTTTTTTCCTATTCTGTGCATATTTTCAGGGATTTAGGGCCTGATCTGAACCTTTATTTCTGACATTAATCGCATGGCAGATGATGATCAGAGAAGGTTCTGGCACATAGAGGCATTTTTATCCAAAGGAGGAATCTGGGGATGAGTTCTTAATTTTTCCATCTGTTTCTGCACCCTATTGTTAAATAGTCAAGGACAAAAGGGAAATATTCTAACATTTGTAATTATTTATTACCTTATAACTTATTGTTGTAATTTTATTTAATCATTTTTAATTTTCAAAAGGGACTTTGTGACAAGAAAAATCACACATTATTCCTTCATGACACTTTACTTGTATTAAACTATTATGTGTCTAATGTAAATATATTTTTGATTTATCATTAGTTGGTGTGGTTCTAACCTTGGAATAGAGGTTATTTTTGCATTTTCATCAATCACATTGATGTATAATTTATAGACCATTTCCAACACATCAGTGCTTGCATGCTGAATGCATTTCAAAGTACAGCATTAACATACACATGAACAACCTAGCAGGCCTTACTGCTGTTAAGGTATGGCTTTTTCATTTTACAACTGTCCTGTTTAAAAACCTGTTTTAAAGACAGTAATTCTCAACCAGGGTGCCATGGCAGTTGTGCCATGTTGTGGCACAGCTGTGACATTTCGTAGTGCTTTGCAACAGAAGAATTGCTCATTACTTGTCTATAGTAAAAAATAAGGGAAAACTAGGAGCTGCATTTGCCAAGGGATGCTTTGAATCTTTCCAAAGGTGCCTCAAGTCTAAAACAGTTGAGGACCACTGCTGTAGGATATATTATAGAAAACATAATTCCTCTGTGAAAAGAAGGCAGAAGTTAGGACAGAGAAGGTGGTACCTTAGGAAACTAAACATTTTAGAGAGGTATGAGCTTTCATAGACATCAACCTACTTCTTCAGATGCTATAAAAAGTTCTCAGAAGAATGAAAACAAACAAAAAAAAATGGGTAAATGTTCTGAATATATTTTCTCTGCTGTTTAAAATACATTCTTGTTTTACTATTGGAAGTGTCCTTCTTTCCTCTCCTATTCTATCTAATTTGACTGCTTTTTCAGTAACACTTTGTGGCCTAAAAAATATTTTTTAATGGGAAAACTAAATTGAAAGTGTCATCAGCTTCTAATGTTGGCCTACTACTGCCAACAAATATAGGTTTGTGGGAGGCAGAGACTATCCTAGCAGCTTGCAGGGCCTGGGGCAAATCAGCCTGTGCAGGGCCCAGATGCAAAGAAGCTGGTGGTGGCAGTGGGGGGTGGGGAGGGAGGGAGTGGTGAGTGACCAGATGCAAAACTGGCGGTGGTACAAAGTCTCCAGCACTAGGCAGGCCCTGCAGGAGGGGCCGCAGCCACTCTGCCTAGCTCGGTGGAGCCCCCGAAAGCACGGGGCCCAGGGCACCCGCCCTGATTTGTACCCCCTAGGGACAGCCCTGGTGGGAGGTCAAACTCCATAGCTAACTCTGTATGCACACCTTCTGGAATTGGTACTGTTTTTGCCCCAGGACTTTGCTGATGCACAGAATTCCACAGGTAACTTATGCCCTTTGTGATTGCTCTGAGGACAGGGCAACACCTCCCCTCTTAAACATGCCTGACAATGCAACTCCACTGGAAACACATTAAAACCCTTCCCCCTCCCACAAAGATCATACCTACTATGGGGTTTTGCCCTTGCACAGAGAGTGTGTGCATTAAAGGTAGTGCAGCCTGCATTCATTATCTTTTCTAGACAATCTCCTTTATGCACATGGTATTTTTGCACATGGTAAAGTATTTTTAACTTGGCCCTTCAACTCTATCTCTAGGTTGTCCTGTTCTGCCACCTCTTTCCTACTTCTTGATATCTCTCTCTCTGACATTTCTACAGAGGAGAGAAAATAGAGCTTAGGATCTCTACATAGCACAATTCAATGCTATGTAGAGCAAGTCCTGGAAGCTAGTTGTAAACGCCCATTACCACAGTGCTCCGTTTTCTGTTCAGCAGTGCTATTTCACATGGGCTGAGTGCCATGTGAAAGACACTATACTGTGTCTGGTCCTTGAGCTAGAACATTCAGAACTAGAAAGAGTATGTCTTCACAACACTGCAGTATGCCATACAGGCCCCTGGACCACATTACAATATGGTACCATTTATATGTTAATCGCACCACAAATAGTAACAGTGCTACATGTTCAGTCAATTTATGGGACCATTAAATAACAAGCCAGCCATAAAAATATTCCACAAAATATGTGGAATATCTTTGTGGCTCATTTGTACACCACCATAAACTGAATGTGCAGCACTTCCATGAAGATGCTGGCTTCCATGATGATGCTGATTGCTGGCATTGGCAAGGGGATCAAGATAGCTCCTGTCCTGATGTGGACACCTAGGTGAGCTGGTTGCAAGTTTCTCTTGTGAGAGTCAGCCAAGGGGCCATTGGGAGCTCAGCAGCCCTTCTTGCCTGGCCCCACAGCCCAGCAGGCACTTTAAAATGCTGGGCTGAGGGAGTTGGGATGAACATGTGTTTTTTAGACATTCTGAGGCACATAACCTTGAGATAGGGGAGAGGATATTTGATTCCAGGGTCCTGGGACCTCTAAAAACCACGAGTGCAGCTGGGTGATCCTGGAACTGGCTGACAATTAGCTGATCGTCAGATTAGGCCCTGAACAGCCCAGGATCTGGAACCAGACCCAGATCCATCTTGGCCAGGATTTACAATGAGTTGATTGTTGGCCCTGGACAGCCCCATGTTGGGAGTAGCTGTGGGTCCAGGACAGACATATACACTGCCTTAGAACTTATCTGTGTTTGAACAATTCTCAATTAGTCTGTGCCGTTCACTAATATTTTATGTATGTAAATCAAAATCAGAAATTTCAATTTATATTAAAAATACTTGACACTAGGGGTGTGCAAAATGGGCCATATTTGATTCAGATTCAGCCCAAATCTGGGGACAGTGCTTCAATTAGTTAGTTGATTCGGATCACTGTCCCGATTCGATTTGGCCAAATCCAAATCGGAAGATTAAGTGCTGATTTGGGGAATCAGTGATTCAGCCATAGACACAGCTTTAAATGTTTTTTCTACGTACCTTGAGGTACCAGATGCAGCTTGTGAAAGCTGAGACGATGGGGTGGATGGAGCATCCCATAGGAGTGCAGGGGGGCCGTGTGCTCAGCGGCAGACCCAGAAGTGGAACAGAAGTACTTTTGGTCTACTTCCAGGTCCACCACTGAGCACCCAGGGGATGCTCCCTGCACTCCATCTGCTCGGAGCTTGGCTGCAGGGGCATCCCAGGTCCCCCCCCCCCGACCCAGGAAGCACCAGTCACCGAGTGGACCCAGAAGTCAACCCAAAGTGCTTCTGGTCCACTTCTGGGTCCGCCACTGAGCACGCTGGGGACCCCCCCAATCCGTGCTCCTGTGGGCATCTGCTCCAGCATCTCAGCATTCATGAGCCGCCTGGTACCTTGAGGTATATAGAAAAGACACTTAAAGCTGTGTCTATAGCCAAATCATTGAAACTTTCTGAATCTCTCCAAATCAAATCTCTCTGATTTGATTTGGAGAGATTAAAGGGTCTTCTGATTTGATTTGGATTCAGAGATTTGGCTACCGAA